CCGCTGCTTCCTCTGGAAAGGGAACTCTGGGGGTCGTTTCCTTTCTCCTTGCCATAAGCACATGCCCAGCTGCCCCACTGGTTCTGGAGTACAGGGAGGGACACATAGAGTCTGGCTGGCTCCCGTAGGCCCAGCCTCGCTCTTGTTCAGAGACATGTGATGAGCCTAGGTGAGCCTCGCCGCCATGAGCAGCATCACAGCTTTGATACTAAAACACTGTCGCTCCTGATTACAGAGCTGAAGCAGCTGATTACACGTCAGGGTGACATATACGACCCGTTTCCACATACCTGCCTCACATCTAGCTGGACTTGCACGGAGCCTTCTTTTGATCACTGTTTAAATTTCCTCATAGTCACACCCTATGGACTGGAAAGGTGCATGGACTGCCTCTTTCCTATTTTTGCCTCTGCTATTTTTAACTTATTGTGTTACATTAGCAATGTGCCATCATTAGGATATAGTTTGAGTGTGTCATCCAAAGCTTGCTATTAAGAAGGCAGCAACTAAGAAGCACCGTCAACTGGTCCTCAGAGGCTGGGGTCTGAGTGGTGATTAGGATTAAGTAAGGGCATAGGGAGGCTGGAACGATGCTCAGCAATCTTTCAAGCTCTGCTGCTCTTGCAGAGGACCCAGGCTTGGTTCTCAGCACCCACATGGCAGCTTACAGTCATCTGTGACTCTCATTCCAGGGGATCCAATATCCTCTTCTAACATCCCCAGCTACCAGGTACACATGTGATATACATATATACATGCAGCAGAGAGAGTGCAGTCTCCTGCATATCTAGGCTAAATGTGCTGCAAAACAGGCTTGTGCTGATGAGAAGAACTTGAAGAGGCAATCTGTTCCTCTCCAAGAGAGCCAGGGTGGCTGAGGTCAAGGAAAGGAGGCCAGGAATGTATATGCTTTCCTTATGCACAAGCCCAGGAACCCAAACTTAGGAGTCTCCAGCTCACACCATGGACACCTAAAATAAATGTCTACTGGCCTCTTCAGCTGGGGATTGAATGTCTAAGGCTGCTTTAGTGTCCAGCGGTACAGCAGGGAAGGTGCTCTGCTCTCAGCTCTCAGGCCTCCCAGAATGGGGATAACTTCGAAGTCCACCTCTATGTGGGAAAGGAAGGATGGCAGAGAAGGAGGGGTGACAGCTGGCAAGGGAGGGGTGCTAGCTCAGGAGCACAGCTCCCAGGACCTAGCATGGGTGGGGGTAGCCAGATGACTACCCTCCTGGAACAGCCCAGGGAGCAATGTAAAGCCACCATGATTTCAGAGCACATTTTTCTCACTTACTGCTTGGTCCTTAGCAGCAGCAGCTTGTACAGAGGCTTTCATGTTCTGGGTGTTGGGAAGTTAATGGCCTGTGAGAAAGCATGGAAAGGCCTACCTGGCAGCCCTTCCAGGGACTCACTTCTTGCAAATGCCCATCTGGGAGGACATTTAGGCTCAGTGACTGGAGAACACTGCTCTAATGAAACATCGATGGGAAGGGGTGCTGGGCTCACTTAGGACAATTGTCTTGCTACACTCCTTGGAGAAAAAGAGAGATCTGAGGGAACTTTCAGGCAATTAGAGTAGCAATGAAAAGGCCAGCAGTGGGGCCAGTGGTGATGCCAGTTTCTATCCCTAGAGCCACTAACAGACCCTGAATATTTTACCATCTGACAGACACTGTTTTAGTGTCTCCTCTTTTCATCTTCTCTGTGACCTGTGAGGAAGGTGCTAGTATCAGCAGCTACTCTGGAGAAGGGACCCTGCCTCTCTTCACTTCTTCTCACTTCTGCAATTTCAAAGAGTAGGAATCTGAAGCACCAAGAAAAGTAAGAGGAGGGTAGAGACAGGAAAGAAGAGCAAAAGAAGTAACCACCTGGCAGAGGAGGCCATGGCCATATTGAGAGACCATTCTGAGTTGGTTACATATGCTCTGCAGGGAGTGCCATACAATGTATTGGCCAACAATGGGCCATAGATGGCATCCCCATCAGATTATAGCACCTACTGACATCGTCAAAGCAACTCTGCTCTGAGCATTGAGGGACATTTAGCCAGATCCATTCCCACTGTTAGCACACACAACTGCAACTCTCATGTTTAAATTAGAAATGACAAGGCTGGGGAGATAGCTCAGCACCTAAGAACACCTGCTGCTCTTTCAAAGGACCCAGGTTTGGTCCCAGCTCTGACATGCAGCTCACAACTATCTGTAACTCCAGATCCAGGGCCTCCTGATCCCCACAGGCACTGCGAAAACACACACATACACACAGGCAAAACACCCAAACACAAAAACAAAATCAATATAAAATTTTCAATTAGAAATTACATCATATCTATAGTTACTTAAACTCTGTGTACAGATTACTGAATTATGTATTACTTTATTGCAATTATATCAATATACATGATATGTGTTTTCCACATGTATGATATACTAATACATAGTTAAATTTTAGCATCTGTGTCATTTATTATATTACTTACGTTTTATTAATTATATAACAGAATATGATGACTTTAATCTTTCGGTATGTTATTTAAATGGATATACCAAGTGAAGCCCCTGGAGCCTGTGACGGTGAACACTTTCAGTGGTGGCCCCCAGGGAAGGTGACTGTTTTCAGAGAGAGTGAAGGTGATGGGTGCTGCATGCAACCACGAATGGCACTGCAGTCACGTCTAAAACATGTCTGAGGGCTGGTGAGATGGCTCAGTGGGCAAGCCTGACCACCTGAGTTCAATCCCTGGCACTCACCTGGCAGGGGAGAACTGACTCCCACAAGGTGCCCTCCGACCTCTGTATGTGCAGGATGTCGCTTGTGCTCTTTACCCGGCCCCATAGACACACAAAAAGTAACAGTAAAAAAAAAGAATACTAAAACATAATACAAAGATAGGGACTGGAAAAAAAAAAAAAAACAACAACAACAACAAAACACCCAGCCCACTCTAGTTTGGCAACTGTGTGGAACATCCTCAGCTCACAATGTAGTGTGGGGATTTCCAGCCATGCACCCAGACTTCCAGAAAGGCCCATCAAGTCAGGCTAGGAGGGGAAGAGAAGGGACCTTCTCCCTGACCAGATCATCATCCCACCATGCCCCCTCAGGGAGCTCCTGGGCGGGGAGGACCACCCGTCATCCCAGTGAGTCAGAGCTACTCTGTCAAGTATTGGTGCAAGCCCTGGGAGCCCTTGATGATGGCTGTTCCAACCACAATTTGCTGTGGGACTGACTGTGTGGGACTCTTCCTTCTTCTGTCAAAGTGACGTGGCTTCAGTAACCAGCACACCCCCGCCCCACCCTCGGGAGCCTAACGAACTTTGTTTTGTGTCTGCATTTTGTGTCATTGGCATTAATCTCTTTGTCCTAGAGTCCTACCTCTCCATTCTGTTCTATCCATCCACATTTCTTTCTTCCACCTTCCCCACTGTGCTGGGGAAGGGCCAAGCAGCCTCCTTCTTATTATCCCTCCCAACAGCACTCGCAGGAAGCTCCCCCTCCTCCCTCCCACAGCCTCTGCACTTCGTGCATCCCCCCCCCCTCCTTACACCTTTACTACCTTGTGGTGGTGATTTGTGCTCTGGGTCTCTTTGGGTTTCCCAGGAGCCAGGACCATTCCTGCGTCTTTCTAGAAGATGTTATTTCTAGTGTGTGTGTGTGTGTGTGTGTGTGTGTGTGTGTGTGTGTGTAGGTGTATGCTGGAGGGTGTTTGATCCTGTGGAGCTGGAGTTACGGGTGGTTGTAAACCACCGTGTAGGTGCTGGGAACTGAACTCTGGTCCTCAGGAAGAGTGGCAGGAGCTGTTAATTGCTGAGCCATCTCTCCAGCCCCTCGTCCCTTCCTTATTGAAAATGGTGAGGTCCAGGCACATGTGGGATGCTGTTCACTCTGTGCCTTAGAAAGGGTCCCGCACAGCCAGTTCCACTGAACATAGCTTCAAATCAAACAGGACCTACCTGCCTGCCCTGGTTCCTGAGTTCACCTCCCTTTCACACCCTTAACTGATGCAATATACAGAGAGTTTGTCCCTCCTCCCTGTGGCCCCTGCAAGGTCTTGGGTCTTTTCAGGAGCAGCTCATGGTGGCACATGAGTCTCTGCCTCCATTCACGGTCAGGACTCATTTGTCTGTGAGCTACCCTCCCTGACCTTACAGCGTGTGTGGAAGCCCCTGGCTTCTCCAGTTCTCCCTCTTCACATCCCACCACTCTAGAAGTTCCACCCTTGGCCCCACGATCCTCAGGGATGCCCCCAAATCACCTTCGCAAGGCTGTGGGAGCGAAACTCGGTCAATGCCTCACAGATGGCATTCTGCAGACTCCTGGAAAGACAAGGGGCAGGCCAGGCAGGCTGCAACTGTCCATTTCTAAAGCCAGTGAGGACCCTGGTTTTCTAACTGGAGCATTGGAGCAGAAGCTATGTGGCCACATTCTAGTCACTGGGGCATGAGTAGAGGCAATGCCTGGGGCCTGGGCCAAAGCACCCCTTCCTTGCTCTCCTGGCTGAGCCATCTAGGGGGACACACTACAGCATGCAGGAGGCACCACATCAGCCTGCTCTGCCTCCCTTCAGACTGATTATGTAGAGGAATGTGGCTGCCCACTCTGTTTAGGCCACAGAACTGGAATTTCTTATTGCAGCAGTTTGATCTGCGTGTTACTTGCTATTAGCAATGGTCTGACTGTGTGCCCACTGCGGATACTGCGGACTGTGTGCCCACTGGGCTGCACGAGAATGGTAGCTGCAGAAGCAGGTAGCACGCCGATAAGCAGAAATCCTCCATGATCTCTGCTTCAAGCTCCTGTGCTGATCCCCCTCAGTGATGGACTACAGCTTGGGAGATGAAATGCATCTTTCCTCCCCTGTGTGCCTTTGGCCACGGTGTTTAGGATAGCAAATGAAACCAAAATAGGATAGGAGGGTTGGGAACCTTTTGCTCTTCATGGGAAGAATTCATTAAATAGAAAGCCAGTGTATTGCTATGCACCTTTTATTCCAGCACTCGGGAGGCTGAGGCAGGAGGATGGCAAGTCTGAAGCCAGTCTGAGCTACAAAGCAAGTTGGGATGGAGGGGAGGTGTAGAAGCCAGAGACTCAGGGCTCCAGGTGCTCAGGCTAGAGGCTCACTGCCTTGGGCTGTAACAACCCCAACAGTCCAGCTCTGCATTGCTGTGGTAACCTTGTTCGTCTCAGAGTTTCAAAGGCTGGGACCCTGCTTCTTGAGGCTTCAGAGCCTCTAATCTCTCCACTTGCTCTGCTTTATTGTTTCTTGCAGGTCTGGACTAGTCTTTCGCTGGTTTCGGTCACAAGTTCCGCACAGCCTCTCAGCTGACTCAAGAATGCAGCCTGAAGGCAGACTTATATATCCAGAAAGGGGGTGTGGCAAGGCTGCCAGCACCAATCAGAAGCAAAGCTCCATGCAAATGAGCTGCGTTTGCACCAACTAAAGCACAGCCCTTCGCCCGGAGCCCACCAAGGAAAGGCTCCGCTCTGGTGTGGGTGGAAATGGTTACAGGGTTATCTAGAGTTCAGAGAGGCTAGAGATGGGCAAGTTGTTTGAAACCACCCCTGGCTGGGATGTGCCTCAGGAGCCAGCACCACCCTTCCGCAGCCAACAGCTGATCACAGTGCAGTTCCCCAAGACATCCAGGAGGCTTCAAAGCAGCTGGCTACAATGAGGGCAATCGGCAACTGGCAATCCACCGCAACTGGAAGTCCACCACTTAAGGCGGCCTAACACCAGGAAAAGGTGTGACAGCTGTCAATTGAGGAGTGATTTAAAAGAAAAACTTTTTTTTTTTTTTTAAAAAAAGGTTGCTTATCATTAACATTAAAAGCAAGTTAGTAGTATTTCACGGGCGGGGGGGCAGATTTAGGTCATTTTCCCTGTTTCATAATCTTCCAGAGTCCTCCCCAACCACAAACAATTGCAGGTCCACAGGTCTCTGTCTCCTCTTCCGACCACTGAGAACACTGAGGACAGAAGGGCATGGGGCAGGCAGGCTACGCCACTCTCATCCTCTCCTGGTCCCAGTCTCCCAGACTCCGCTCTGCTGAGACACTTACCACTGACCATTGTGCTCCCAGGGACTTTCCCACCATCCTGTTGTGCAAGGTCCAGCTGAAATCTGAACTCGCAGAAATCCACCCAAAGCGGCAGCACTGAGAGGTTGCATGAGGGAGAATGCAGTAACCCTAAACCCTCTCTGTGTGTCTTGCTGTACCCTCCCCTGCCTCCCCTGCAGTGCAGGGGTGAGGATGTAGGAGGGGAGGATCCTGGGAGCCCGTGCTGACTTAGACCGCCTACCTACCTCCTTCCCCCAAGATGGCTCACAGCCAAGCGGAATAACCAGGCTGTTGGTGGTGAGCTGATGAGGGGGAAGAGCATGTCCCTCCATCCTCAGCCATGGTGCGTGTGGACATGGGTGTATTCCTTTCCACTCTGCCACCAGCATGACCATAAACAGACCTCCTCTGTCTCTGCAATGTCCCTTGTATCTGTGGTTGCATTGATTGTTTAAAGATGAAGAGAAATTACGCTTACACAGCTGGAAATCAATGTCTCATTTCCTCAGGGCCTGTTTGTCCTCAGAAGGTACATGTGGTCACAGGCAAAGGACAGAGGTCACAAGCAGGTCAGATGGGATGTCCATTCTCTGATCAGATGTACTGGTCATATATGAATTTTCAATGGCTGCCAGCTTCCTCTGGGCAGGACAGATTAGCAGGGCTACCCCAAGCCAGCCAGGATAGTGGCCTCTTCATTCTGGGACTCACAGCTTCACTCCACAGGATACGGGCATACCTCTGCTGGAAACCTACCTGCCAGCTGGCTCCAGATCTCCAAGGGGCTCCTGGGAAACCTTTGCCCAGCCAGCACCCACCTATTTTAGTGAGGTCAACAGGAAAGGTCCACTTCCAGAATGTTCTCAGCGTACATTGTGCACAGGTGAACCAGTAAGGTCTTCCTGCTGCGCACCTCACACCAGCTGAGTTGCTGAGGTGGCGAGCCCTGGGCGCCTCCCTGGGGTCATTCCATAGGAGCTCACAGCTTCCCCTGTGGTCTGCTACTACTGATCCTAGAGCCCAGTCTGTTGAAGGCATGTATCCGGATCCAAAACTGATAGCAGAACCCGATGGCAGAAACCTCAAGAACCCCAGGGGGTTGGGGAGGCAGAAGTGACCTAAGCCCACCCCCTGCCTGGAGAAGATGCCTAAGATGTCAAAGTCACTGTGTAGGGAGGAACTAGCCAGCCACGTTCCTGGGGAGGGCCAATAGAACATATGATGATAGCCTCAGCACACAGAAGTGCCCAGCAAAGGTCTCAAATGGCAATGACTTGCTGGCCCGAGACCCTTTCTACAGGCGACACCAGAACATGGGCTCAAGAGAGGAATCTGGAGGGAGCAGAGCCCCAGAACCAGCTCCATGTCCCAGGCCAGTGGAGGAACACAAGGCCAAAGAATGGTTGAGTTCTTCTTCTTCTTTTTTTTTTTTTTTATTGGCAAAGTAAATATATTCTTATGAAGGACCAAAGAAAATATACATAATTGTAACATATGTACACCAACTTTATAGAATTTTTTTAATTTCAAATTTACACAAATGTCAACGTGTTATTAAAAGATATTTTATGTAGATGCGTACCTATGTACAGTTTATTTACATACATTCATAGGATGTGAAATAGACCTGTCAAAAACAAGCTAGTTCAATTGGTACTAATTTCTAGACCTGATGAGGAATGCAAATCTAAGTCAGACTAGGACGCGCTAGCTAGTTGCTTTCCATCTGTCAGGCCGGATCCCTTCTCCTACACAACAGGGAGGCTGGTGTCTGGAGGAGGTGACCCGGGCTAGGTATAGATGGATGTGGCTCCATTTGTCTTGCATTTAAGCACATGCATTATGGCCTAGAGTGAGGGTGGCCATCCTCCTGGACCCTCAAAGGCCTCTTGCATATGGCACTGCGCTTTTGACCTACTTCCTTTTTCCCAGAACAGCTTCCTCTGGGAATCACTATTTCAACACAGCCAAAACACTTCTTCCCCAGCAATAAGGTTGGCTCTGGCCCAGGTAGGGAGCCCAATGGGAGGAGGGCAAGGGGCCCCCAAACACTGCTTCTAGCTGGCAGGAAGGCACAAAGGCACAGGGCACAGGCCTGCCTGGGCCACCTAGGCCACCAGGGAACCAGCCCCCAGGGACCTTGGGGACTCTAGGTCCTCCCCAGAAAGGCAGCCATGGCGGCTCTGGGTCCCACCTCCTAAGATTCAGAAGGGAGGCTGGTAATATGGCACATCCTTCTGAAGGAGGCAATAAGTTATTGCATTTAAAAAAAAAACGTAGGGCTGGGGGAGGGGCGGGGCAGCCACTGCGCTCAGTTGATGGCGCGTACCGCTCGGCTGCTCCGTGGGAAGCGATGCACCTTGATGTGTTTGGAGAGGTGGTCACTCCGAGCGAACTTCTTCTCGCACACGGGACACTGGTACGGCTTCACACCCGAGTGAGATCGCCGGTGCCGTGACAGCTCATCTGAGCGGGAAAACCTGTGGGACACGGCGGGTCAGGCAGGCCAGGGTGGGCACTGCTACCACAAGTGACCTCAAAGCTGCCTCCCCAGCATCGGTGGAGACACGGGGAGGGCACAGCGAGCCAAGCTAAGCCAGGCTCAATCTTAAGCTGTTAGACCACCTCTGCAGCCACCCAAGAAGTTCCTGGCAAGCCCGATGTCCCGAGACCTCCCAAAGGGCAGGAGTCAAAAGACACGAGGCACACAGGTTTGTTCTCCTGGCCAGAGCCTGCTTCCCATGGTATCTGGCTACTGTTTCTCATGGGAAGGGGCCTAAGGCTGTTAGACACCTGGCACTCACTTCTCCCCCGGTCAAATCAGTTTCCAAGTCCTTGGGCATGAGATCACTCCTGCACTGGCAAAGAGCAGGTCAACAGTGTTTAGCCCACTGACCTCACCTTCCCCTGCAGTAGGGGCAGCAGATATATCCCTGAAGGGTCTGTGAAGACCAGCCAGATGTGACATAGGCCCAGCAAGGGAAGCAGACTCCTCAGACCACAGGAGTGCCTGGTTCATGTTTCAGTTACAACAGGGAAGGATCTTAGACTTGTGCCTGCCTGTCTATTGCACCCTACAGATCTGGGCATGGGGCCTTCTGAGATGCCTCCAAATTCACCGGCATGGTATTCCTAAACGTTTAAATGGCTTCCTCTCTCAGCCACTGCAGGCCAAGGAACAGACTCCCACAGCACAGGCAGGAACCTGAGCCAGGCCAAGATGCCCAGGCTGCTTGGCGATACCTTCGGGGATCTGAGGCTCTCCATTCCGCTCCTGTTTAGCAACAGGATCCTAGGACCTCACTACACCACAACTACAAATTTGGTTCCTCTGTGCCCCGCCTGTTCAGACTTTTTCTCCATCCTTCCTGCTGCAAGACACTTGCACATCCATCTCCTCCACCCTCTTCTCTCCTTGTTCTCTTCTGCCTATCCCTCAGAGTTTAGCCCAAGTGTCACTTCCTCAAGAGCCTGCATCATCTCCTTGACTCTCACAGCACTATCCCCCACTTTACTATCTTTCCTTTTGTGGGTGTTGGGGAATCAAAGCTTGGACATGCTAGACAAGTGTCCTACCACTGTGCCGCTCCTTCAGCCCCACAGTATTTTTTTAAGTTAAGTTTCAACATAATGATGCTCAGCTGTCCCTAGACAGTGTTAGCTCCAGGAAGGAGGGTGTACTTTTGGTTCTCTGTGCTCGGGAGCTACACTTAAACAGGGGTCTTCAGCAGGTACCCCAGGATGAGAAAGGATTGGCACACACTGTTCATTGCATGTACTCCCGGGACACACATGAGCTCCAGCCCTGGCACTCCATTTCCACAAGGGGACACTTGGTCATGGAGAATAGGTGGACAGCAGATAGATCACACTTTGTTGTCAGGGGCTACGGCCATCTCAACTCTGATTCTATAGTGGGCCCTGCTGACTTCAGCCTGGGAAACACAAGAGGAACAGTGGCATTGAACACAGGCAGGGCTCATGACACCACGGACCTCAATCTCCTGTGCTGCTGGCAGTGCAGGTGGAGCTACTGTGCAAGCAGCTGGCCTGCAACCATGACCCAGGCATCAGGTATCTCACAGGACCATCCAATTAGATGGAACTCACAGCGGTGTGGAACTCACAGAACACCGGAGGCCAGAACAAAGCCTCCTTTCCTGGCCTGTCTGCTCTAGCCTCTCGGCTTCCTCTGCCTGGCTTGGTAGTGCTGTTATCAGGACCCTGTGCCATAGTCACGTTTCCCCAGCAGGAGTTGGACACACATCTCTCTCCAGAAAGAACAGGCTTGGCAGTCCCCACCGGTTCTGAGCATTCTGGGCCTCAGTTTCCTCTCCTACTTCCTGCTTGCCTTCCAGGGAACTGAGTAGCAATCCTCTTGTTATATGACACCTTGAGAGGGACAGGCAGCTGAGAGGCATTCATGCCAGAGAACAAGCTGTCCTCATTCCAGGGCCCCTCTCTGTTGCCACAGCCTCTTGGTACCTAAGGACAGGACTGTCTTTGTAACTGAGCTGAAGATAAGCCCCCTCACACACACACCTCACTGGGTCACATCCTTTGATAACAGCCTAAGGAGAAGCCTGAGGCAGCAATGGAGCAAGAGATGAGAGATCTTGGCCAGGCAGGACACAGCCTTGGGATTGGTCTGGGTAAGTTGCCAAGCTTGTTATACCTCAGTTTCCCTACCTTGGAACAGCAAGGATGACAGCCCTATTTCAGGGGAGTGTGACAGACAATGAGGCTCCATTTGTGGCAACTGTTTAAGAACTGGAAGCTTCTATTGAATTCAGGGAGTAGAGCACAGGACCTGCCTGTACACGGTAAAGGCCTGGTGCCTGGCATCTGTGGGGCAGGCTCCTGACTCCTGCTATTGGGTCACAGGGCAGAGGAAGACCACCAGTGGTGACAGCATGAAAGTTGTGTGAGACGCGAGTTGCCATCTGTCAGAAAGCCACTGTCAACAGTCAAATCTCTGAAGCTGCAGGCTCTGAGGCTGCATGTGCAGTGCACAGCCTGTAGATAGTACATGGAGCAACCGCAAGGCGAGAGGACACATCCCCGCTGATGGGCAGCAGCAATGAGGCTGAGAGCTGGCCTGACCCCACCACTAAGTTTGAATCATATGCCCACCTCCTCCAACAGTGGCTTCGGACTCCACTGTCTCTCTCTGGGCCTCCTGTGTCCACCGTGGACATTGGCAGTGCATGCCACACAGGCTGCTGACTGCTATTAATATTCACTTTAGCTATGGCCCAGTGAGATTCTTTCTGGAAGGAGTGGCTTGGCCACTCTGGAACAGGATGTTCCAGTGCGGGGAACAAAGGAAGCCTGTGTCTGCGAGTGAGGAGAGGAAACTTCTAGGAAGGCGGCAAACAGCCACTTCCCAGATGGTTAGACCAGAGCAGGCAGGCTGGCTTTAGTCCCTCCTGCATGCAAAGCCATGTCCCAACAGGGAGAGAGACAGGGAATTCTGGCTGCACAAGCAGAAGGCAGTGGGCTTTGGACTGGGACAGGTGCCACCTCAGCTGTGTGTGTGGGGTTTCTGGGCTGAGGAGTGGGGCCAGGGCAGGAGATAGGGCAAGTTTAGGAACTCGGGGCCTAGTGCCAGCACCAGAGCCAGATGGGAAGCATAGAACATGCTGGGCTGACTAGGCCCAGCTACAGGTGGAGGAGGGGCCTCTGC